AGAGAGAGAGAGAGAGAGAGAGAGAGAGAGAGAGAGAGAGAGTTCTTCTTCTTCCTCTAAGTCCACCATCTCTCCCTCACCCTCTCGCCCCCTGACTTCTCAGTATCTACCGGCTAAGAGAGAGAGAGAGAGAGAGATGGGCGACATTGGGATTTGGGTGACATTTGGGTTCAGACTCAGCATCGGGATTCAGACCTTTGGCGAGGGATTATTTGGGACTCTATCGAAGACTTGGTGTTAACGACATTTCCATCTTCCCCCTCCCCTTCGTCTAATCCCCCTCTTCTTCGTCTGTGGATGATCGGGGAGTGACACATTCTTCTCGTGTGAGCGTCAGCCCCCTTCACACCATGGAATGATGATGATGCATGTTTGGTCTGCATGGCAGCTTGATTGACCGGATCATCGGTATCTAAGCCTTCCGTTGTGCTATCTTGTATCATGTGAGAAAGTTCGGTTCTTGGTCTGGTCTGTACCGTTAGGGTATGCAACACCTTCCAGCAATTTAGTGATCGGGGTGCGAGTCCTTTATCCTATTGTCGTCCAAGACCGTTCAAGGAGTGGGTAAATCAAGTATCTCTTTCCACCACAGGCTACGTATGATGTGGGTAATCAAGTTCTCTCCTTTCTGCACTTTAGTGATCCAAGGGTAGTTCTTTCTCCTATCCTCACATGCACTTCGATGTTTGTCTGTCACTTTGTATTAACCATTCATCAGGGTCGCTCGTACCCGCCTTTCTCTTCGCATTACATACTCCTGATTGCGCAATGTTCCTACAACGACAACAACCACAACAACAACAACCACAACAACAACCACAACCACAACAACAACAACAACAACAACAACAACAACAACAACAACAGCAGCAGCAGCAACAACAACCACAACAACCACAACAACCACAACAACCACAACAACCACAACAACAACAACAACAACAACAACAACAACAACAACAACACCGAAACAAAAACAACAATGACAACAACCACACAAGCACCAGCACCGACAAGACACCAATAACAATAATAATGAGGAGGGGGAGGAGGGGGAGGAGGATGAAAAGAAGAAGTGCGACCACCACCACCACCACAACATCAACAACAACAACAGTGACAGCATCATCATCATCATCATCATCAGCAGCAGCAGCAGCACCACCACCACCACCACCACCACGAACAACAACAATAATAATAATAATAATAATAATAATAATAATAATAATAATAAGAAGAAGAAGAAGAAGAACAGCCATAGCACTGCCCAGCGACAAAGAAATATGCAGCAGCACCAGCAAGAACAGCGACAAAAATGATCAACCAATTAACCTACAAACCAATCAACAAACCAACCAAACAGACAATCAGCCAACCGACCAATCATCCAATCACCCTATCAACTACCAACGTCAACGAGCCAGCAAATCAATCATTCAATCATTCAACCAATCAACCAACCAACCAACCAACCAATCTATGAACCGATCAATCAATCAACATATGAACCAATCAAGCAACCAAGCAACCGATCAACCAATCAACCAATGAACCAACCAACCAACCAACCAACCAATCAGTCGACCGACCAATCATCCAATCAACTACCAACGTCACCGAGCAAATCAACCAGCAATTCAATCATTAAATCATCCAACCAATCAACTGATCAACCAACCAACCAACCAATCTATGAACCAATCAATCAATCAATATATGAACCAATCAAGCAACCAAGCAACCGATCAACCAATCAACCAACCAACCAACCAACCAACCAACCAACCAGGCAAGCAATGTATCTATGAACCAATCAATCAACCAATCAACCCGTCAACCAATAAACCAATAAACCAATAAACCAATAAACAAATCAATCAACCAAGCAACCAAACAATCAACTAATCAATCAAAATCATCAGACAAACAAGCAAATAATAACAAAACCAGGAGGAAGAAGACGACGCATAGCAAGGGGCAGACAGAGAAAAGGAGAAGCGGTGACAGAAATTGAAGAAGAGCAAGAGGAGGAAGAAAGTAGAAGAAAGTTATTATTTGACTAACGTCTTCTTTGGGACGCAATGCACTCTGGACATGAATGTATACAAGCTATCTTTCTGGTCTGATACACATTAGGAGGGTGCGTTTGTGTTCGGTGAAAGACGGTAGGACCGGGCGTGATTTGGAATGAACAATGCCCAAGGGCGTACTCGCACTTGGACTTTCTTTGATGCAACCGTCTGTAATTGGGTCCGAATTCATTCGAGAGAGTCCTACTGAAGGGCGACTATGTGCTAAATGCTAATACCCAGATTTTCTTTGATGTATCCTGATGTACCTGTCTGTAATAGCGTCCACATTCAGTCGCGAGAGTCCTTCCAAAGGGCGACTATGTGCTAAATGCCAATACCCAGATTTTCACTGATGTATCCATCGGTAATAGCGTCCAAATTCAGTCGAGAAAGTCCTGATTGTGTGCGAGTATGCCCTAATATGCAAGTGCTTCGAACATGCTTGCTGTGCAGTGCTTTCTGTATCTGGTCTTGATTAGCGTAATTGCGCTTTCAGGAAAAAAAAAGGAAAGAACAAGAAAATATGTTTCTTATTTTTTTGAAAAATAAAGAAAAAGATAGGGGCAAAAAAGGAAAAAACAGGAGAAAACATTAGCAAGATTGGGATGTGCCCTTCAGAAATGTATGAGGCAGCCAGCTTCGTGGCAACGTACCTGTGTCTTGCCCAACCGAGTGGAATGCACGGTCACTACGGGGGTGTATGTTTTGGGGGCAACTTTCAGTCTAAATATGGCGATAATGACCGTGTGTTCTATTCCAGGGAAGAGGGTAGTGAGCTAACTACTACATGTTTTCACATTGCAGTTCGCTATCTATCCATTCCACCCAGGCAGTGTATGTTTTGGGTGCAACTTTCAGTCTAAATACAGCGATAATGATCGTGTGTTCTGTTCCAAGGAAGACGTTAGTCGACCAACTACTTCATGCTGAGTCAGCATGGGATGGATAGATAGCGAATTGAAATGTGAACATGAAGTAGTTTGCTAACGTCTTCCTCGGATAGAACACACGCTGTATTTAGACTGAAAGTTGCCCCAAAAGCATGCATCGCCCGCACATGCAATGTGAACATTGTTGATGTTGGTAGCAGCAACAACTGAAACGACCCGCAACAACGGACCGTTGGTTATGTGGAACTTCCTACCAGACTCCACTGAATAGATCGTACGGTCATTATCGTTGTATCTAGACTGAATGTCGTGCCAAATACAGGCATAGTTATCGTATGTTCTATTCAGGGGAATAAGGTAGTCCCATCCTGAACTCCGGTTTCATCTTTTCCTTCTCATTTGAGCAAGAAAAGTAAGATGATGAAATTTGACGAAAAAGTGTGTTAGCTCTAACCTTTTTCTTCCCTACACTTGTAGAAATCGCTATTTGGTGCGCAACATTTGGCCGATCCGCGCCGCCCGTGGCTTACCGGCCGACGGCCCGGATTTTCGCGTGATCTTAAGACTTTAAGACTTCAAGACTAAGATCGCGCGGCGATCCAGACCGTCCGCCTCACCGGACGGCCTGGATCGTCGCATGGTCTTAAAGTCTTAAGATCGCAGGACGATCCGAGCCATTGGGCCGGTAGGACCGCGGGCGGCCTGGATCGGCGTGGCCGTTGAAAAGAGGGCCCATCGTAAAAGAACTGCCTTGGCACCTGCTGGCCATTGGCCCTTTCCAGGGCCGGAGGCGGCTGTGGCTCTATGGCCCTGCTCGCGTCGAACGGCCTCTGACTTCGTGCCCTCGACCCGAGACCTGCAACGCTGTACTCCGAGGTGACTCTGTCTCTGCCCACCTCCCCTCCATCTCCGCTCACCTCCCCTCTGTCTCCCCCCGCCTTTGACTTCACGCCCTCGACCCGTGACTTGAAAGGCTGTACTTCAAGGTGACTAGGTCTTCGTCCACGTCCTCTTTCCCTTTCCTCCCCCGTCTCCACCACTTCTCCTCCGCCTCCGCCACCTCCCGTCCGCCTCCTTCCTCCATCTCCTCCCGCCAACTCCTCTCCGCCTTCGCCTCCATATCCCTTGTG